TGTTTTTGCTGACTGTATAGAGCTTCTCCATATTTGGCTGCAGAGAACACAATCAATCTGATTTCGGTATTCCCCATCTGGTTATTTCCATGTGTAGAGTTGCCTCTTTTGTTGGAAAAGAGTGTTTGTGATGACCAGCTTGTTCTCTTGACAAAACTCTATTAGCCTTTGCCCTGGTTCATTCTGAACTCCAAGGCCAAACTTCCCTGTTGTTCCTTTTATCTCCTGACTCCCTACTTTAGCATTCCAGTCCCCTATAATGAGAAGAACATCTTTGGTGTCAGTTCTAGAAGGGGTAAATCTTCATAAATTTCGTCAATTTCAGTTTCCTCAGCATTGGTGGTTGGTGCATAAACTTGAATGACTGTGATGTTGAAAGGTCTGCCTTGGATTCGTATTTAAATCATTCTATCATTTTTAAGATTGTATCCCAGTACAGCTTTTCCCACTCTTTTGTTGACTGTGAGGGCTACTCCTTTACTTCTATGGGATTCTTGCCCACAATAGTAGATATGATAATCATCTAAATTGAATTCACCCATTCCCGTCCATGGTAGTTCATTGACGCCCAGGATGTCAATGTTTATTCTTGCCATCTCCTGTTTGACAACATCCAGCTTACCAAGGTTCATAGATCTTACATTCCAGGTTCCTATGCAGTATTTTTCTTTGCAGTATCGGACTCGCTTCTAGGCATGTCCACAGTTGAGCGTACTTTCGGCTTTGGCCCAACCACTTCATTAGCTCTGGAGCTACTTGTACTTGTCCTCCGCTCTTCCTCAATAACATGTTGGACGCCTTCTGACCTGAGGGGCCCATCTTCCAGCATCATATCTTTTAGCCTTTTGTTTCTGTTCATGGGGTATTCTTGGCAATGGTACTGGAGTGGCATTGCCAATTCCTACTCCATGTGGATTACATTTGGTCACAACTGTCCACTATGACCTGTCTGTCTTGGGTGTCCCTGCACAGCATAGCCCATAGCTTCTCTGAGTTACTCAAGCCCCTTCACCAGGACAAGGCAGCAATCTATGAAGGGGAGAAGTTGCATTGGCTAATGTCTATTGTTATGCATCTCATCTTTTAAGTCCGATGAGGAAATCATAGAGCACAGTGTCCAAGAGGTCCCCAATTTGACAAAATTCAAGATGCTACAGGTATCTCCAGGAAGTATGGCAAGCAGTCTGCCCCCCTCCCTGTTGTATCACTCCCTCCTTACTACTTGTTTAATTTTCAGAACAAGTGGCAGTGTCCAGCATGTATGCATCTACATGTTCTTTCCCAGCTGGCCAGAAGAAGGTAGGGGTACTGAATCTTAGTGTGATGAGGGAAGATGCTGGAGGATGAAAACTAGGATATGGTTGTGAATGGGGAAAGGGAAGAAATTGAGTGGTGATAATGAAGAGGATGTATATACGTATGTCATACCCTGCTCCCCCACTGCCTAACAAAGATCATGTGCACAGCTACTCCTTTTTTTTTTTTTTTTTTGCTTTTCCTCCATAGCCACACTATCCTGCCCAGAAAGCGTGGTGGCTATATTGATAAAACAGAGGACTCTGCAGCTCCCATCAAAATGTCTTGATGAAAGTGTCTGGTTGGCAAGAAGTAGGAACTATCATTCTGCAGCTCTCAAGCCAATAGATTTGTAAAAAATAATAGTTAACAAAGAAAGCAAAACAATGTGTTTGCTGGCTGGTACGTGCTGTTTCTTTCTCTGAACATGATCTCGTCTGTGCTGTTGCCTAAGGTCTGCACACTACCATAGTCTCATATCTCTGCAAAAAATTGAAAGAGACATTCAGTAGTGCAACAAAGATTAAGGTCTGATGAGCTATGGGTCTAAGAATGACCTAGATTGACACTGATTGCCTGGGGGCATCATGTCCTAAGGCTCAGTTCTCAAAGACAGTGGCAGGCCCCGATATTTTGGGTGAGTGGAAACCAAGCAGGATCCCACGGCCATACATGGATACCTGAAAGAGCAGTTTAAATGGATGCCCTGCCTGCAGCTTGCTTCCCTTTGAAGAGTGGAACCCGTATTGCATGCACATTGGGGGAAAACACCTGTGCAGATGTGAATAATTTCCCCCTGCACAGAGCTATGTTCTCATAATAATCCTGTTACAGAATGCAGCTGCAAGTATGAATAGTGATTCATGAGTAGTGATTTGGAGATTGTGAGAATTTAGGAAGTTTCAAGTTTGCAAAGGGATTTCAAGGTTACCGGTGCTGTGGTCCCTTTCCCTACATATCAGCTTGAATTTGTCTATAAAATGAACTATTCTAACAAATTAGCATGTTTATGTGGCTCCTTTGTAATTTCCAAAGTAAAATATGTCTTTAAATAAAGTTAGTTCA